AGTTAATCCTCGGTCTAGAGTGATCCCTACTTGCATATATACTACAATTGTCACAAATAGGGTTTAATTTGTGTGTCAAGTTAATTTTCACATCAATAAGCCTTTGTAATGCCAAGACAAGATCTCCAGCTTGGAAATAACTTAGGCGGACCTTCTTGTTAACTGCCTTAGATAGCCGTGCTTTGTAGCATTCCAAGTGTTGAGCTTCGAGCCTTCTTTCGTCGAGTGCTTCAAACTCTTCAAGTCATAGCTTTACATTTTCCTCTTCAGTCAAGCCTTCTTTTATAGCCATCCTTAGTGAGGGGATTTGACTTTCGAACGGCAGAACAGCTTCCACGCCATATATGAGAGAATAAGGCGTAGCTTGGGTAGGAGTCCTATGTTTCATCCTATATGCCCAAAGTGCTTCGCTTATTCTTTCATGTCAGTCTCTCTTTGTTCGGCCAATCACATTCTTCAGGAGGTTCCATAACGTTTTGTTGAATGCTTTTACAAGACCGTTGGTCGAAGCATGATACATGGAAGACATGTGTTGCTTGAACTTGTATCTCTCGCAGAGCTTGTCCATGAGTCGGTTAGAGAACTGTTTTCTGTTATCGATGATGATGTAACGAGGCACACCATATCGATGAATGATATGCTTATTGATGAAACAGACGACAATTTCCTTCTTAACTTCCCCTAGGGTTATGGCTTCAACCCACTTGGAGGAGTAGTCCGTTGCGACTAGGATGTATGTTTCTCCAGCAGATGATTTTAGTGTGATTGGTCCCACGACGTCCAATCCTCATGCATTAAATGGCCATGAAGCAACCGTATGGTGTAATGGCTCAAGTAGTTGATGTATGAAGTTGGCGTGGAATTGGTAGGCTTGGCACCTTTTGGCGTATTCCAGGCAATCCTTCATTATGCATGGCTAGTAGGAGCCCATTCTTTTGAGCTGGAAGTGTAGCTTCGGTCCAGATTGATGTACCCCGCATATGCATGAGTGTGCTTCTTCCATAGCTTGATTGACTTCTTCCTCACCTAGGCATCTTAGAAGTACTCCTGCAAAAGAGCGTTGGTAGAGTGTTCTTTTGTAGTAGAGGAAGCGAAGTGCTCGTCGATGTATTTCAGAGTGGTGTTAGGATTGTCTAGAACCTTTCCATGCCCTAAGTAGTCAACCAGCTACTGTCTCCACTCTTCAGTGTCGACTGGAAGTACTGAAATGACTTTGTATCATCCAGTTGAATTTCAGTGATGAACGAGATCACCCATCTTAGCAAACTGGCACATCCGTAGCTTCGTCTTCTTCTATCACCATAATTGAGGCTAGGTTAGCGAAAGCATCCACCATTTGGTTTTCTTTTCGTGGCACATGTTCCAGCGTCACGGCCTTGAACTTTTGTAGTAATTGGGTTGCTAGCCGAAAGTATGGGGCAAAATCATTTTTCCTTACTTCATATTCAGTCAAGAGTTGATTGATTATGGGCTTAGAGTCGCCATACACTTCTAGCATTATGATTTACATGTCAATCGCCATTTGGTGTCCAATAATCAATGCTTGGTACTCAGCGACGTTGTTAGAGCATAGCTCGCTTAGTTGAAAGGAATAGGGTAGTACTTGTCTTTGTGGCGACATGAACACTACTCTTGCCCCTGCTGTTCATGCAAATTCATCGAAGAACATTGTCTATGTCGGGAAGATGTCAACGTAGAACACCTTCTCATCAGGCAAGTCGTCTGAGATTTCCAATTGGTTGGGATTGGATGATTGGCAAGGAAGTCTGCTAGCGCTTGTCCTTTGACAGCTTTAGCTGAGACGTAGATGATCTCGTGTTGGTTAAGAAGCAACGCCCATTTAACTAGTTGCCCTGTCAGAACAGGTTTGGACATAACGTACTTGACTGGGTCGGCTTTAGCAACCAAATGGATGATGTAAGCATGCATGTAATGTCTAAGCTTTTAAATGGTAAAGACTAAGACAAGGCACATCTTCTCGATTGATGAGTAGTTAAGCTCAGCACCAGTGATAGTTCTACTTAGGTAGTAGAATGCTCTTCCTTTTATTCTTTAGTTTCTTGTGCCAAGAGTGTTCCAATGGAACCCTCTTGCGCAGCAATGTATAGGATGAACGACTTTCTAGGCACGGGAGCTCCTAAGACAGATGGGCTTGCCAGGTAACTTTTAATGTTCTCAAAGGCATTGCGACATGCATCATCCCATATGAATGGAGCATCATTCTTCATGAGTCGACTGAAGGGTTAACAGCATCCGGCAAGGTTAGAGATAAAACGCCTAATGAAGGCTAGCCATCCTTGTAGACTTTTCAACTTATGTAGATTCCTTAGCTCGGGCATGCTTTAAGTGGCCTTATTCTTCGATTGGTTCACTTTAATGCCACAATGCTTGACAATGAAACCGAGGAACTTCCTAGAGATAACACTAAATGCACATTTCAACGGGTTCATCTTGAGGTTGTAGTGCCGTAGTTTGTAAAACATCATTCGTAAATCATTCAAGTGATCAGATCTTTTCTTGGTTTTATAACTACATTGTCTACGTAACATTCTATATTTTTGTGTAGCATGTCATTGAAGATCTTCTGCATTGCATGTTGATATGTAGCCTTAGCGTTCTTTAAGCCAAAAGGCATTACCTTGTAGCAGTAGATACTTTTTGGAGTGCGGAAGGCTATTAGTTCCTCGTCTTAGGAGCCATAGGGATTTGATTATACCCAGAGGAGCCATCCATGAATGATAACGCCTTATGGCCAGTGGTCGCGTCCACCATGATTTGGATGTTTGGCAAAGGAAAGTCATCATTCGGCCAAGCATCGTTGAGGTCACATAAATCTACATAAACACATATTTGTCCAGATTTCTTAAAGACAATGATGATGTTGAAGATCTATTTAGGGTAATGCACCTCTCATATGAAGCCTACTTTGATTAGCTTGTCAATTTCAGCCTCAATTTATAGGATGAGCTCGGATCGATAGCGTCTTTGAGTTTGCTTTATCAGTCGTGTTCCAGGTTTAACTGCAAGGCGATGCACGGTGATGGTAGGGTTAAAGTTGGGCATTTCTTTGTAGGTCCAAGCAAAGACGTCTTTGTACTCCATTAGCAATTGGTGGTACTTTTCAATCTTGTCTGCACTTAGTAGTGCACTTACGAACATAGGCTTTCGTTCCTCGCTTGTGCCTAAGTTAAGCTCCTTGAGATCATCAACCATGGCTTGCCCCCCATCCTTAAGCTATGGTGGCGTAACAGTGACGTCTTCGTCAGGGATTTTGTCTGTTTTGTCTTCTTGGATTATGATGTGGAAGACATCTTGGACCTCCTCTTTAGTGTCGTTCTCTTGGGCTTATTGGCGTGAAGATTGGCCAGTGTGGATAATGGTGCACCTATTTACCTTCGGTTATCCTTTTGTGTCAACCTTTAAGGTTGCTTGGCGTTTCATCCTTGAAGGAATCGAGCTTCGAACGTCGTCTTTTTCTGTTAGATAGTCGATCTTTTCTTCCTTCAGCATTGTCTTCCTCTTTCTAAAAAGCTTCTTGGTTTCTTTAAGTCTTTCCAAGGCCGACCATCGTGAAAGAGAGCTAGCAGAGGTTTTACGAAACCTTGTGGTGGCTTTGAAACTTTAGCATCACCTAGCTATGTCAGAGGTAAAACGACATTTGTCTTGAGCAGTTTTACATCGTCCTTATGCAGCTGTGTGTTGGCTTTGCATGTTTTAGTTTCAAACGGCAATTGCCCATTTTTTTCTTCTTGATATGGGGACGTATTGGAAAACAAGTGTGTTTGGTTCTTTTGAGGGCATCACACTTTGGTTGTTGTAGGTTTGGCAGACTCATCATCATCTTTGCTTGAAGATGGCAAGGCTTCATCTTCTTGCATTTTGGGCACGGCTTGCCACTCCTATTTCTTAGGTATGGCTTTGCTGTGGATTTGATCTTTTTTGGAAAAGCTTTAGGCACCATGTCTTCATCCATGCAAAACTTGGCATCCGCGAAGTGTGATTCAGCTTCGGTGAATGGCTTGGTGTCACCTTACATCACCTTTACCTCTTCTCGATAGAATTTTAAGCATTGGTGGGGGTGGACGACACCACTTCATTCTCATAAATCCAAGGCTTTCCTAAAAGCAAGTTGTATGAAGTTCTTGTGTCAATCACATGAAATAGCGTGCTTGACTTGAGTTCACCAATGGTCATCTCGACTCGGATCATACCCATTGCTCTTTGTCCTTCTTGGTTAAAACTTTGAATTAGAAGGTGACTTCAGGACAATTCATCCACCTTGATGTCGATTATGGTCATTGTTGATTTTGACATGATGTGTATGGCCGATCCCCCATCCACAAGCATACGGTTGACTTTGTGCTCCCTCATGTACCTAGAGACAAAGAAAGAACGGTTGTGAGGCTTTGACCCTAGTAGCAAGTCTTCATCAGTGAAGATGATTGCATCATGGGTGGCACAGCATGTGGTCGAAGCTTCAAGCCTTCGTCCTTGCTTTCTTGCACTTCGTGGTCGTCGGAACTCACCAAGACCGCTACTAGTGCTTTTCACATCTCCTTGGGCAATCGTAGCGCTTCCTTAATGCTAAAGTATGTCATCAGGTATTCTTTGGGTGTGAGGGTCTTCTCTTCCTCAATAGCAATAGCTTTGCCTTTTGAGTGCTCTTCTATCTCTATTTCAACCATGTGACAGACATCGATAATGCATTGTTGGAATAAGTCTTTCGGGAAGTACTCATGCAAAAAGACGAGAATGCGTGGCTCTTGATCCATAGGTTCCTTGGCGTACAATGGCTTAGTAGCTCTTACGTTTCTTTTAGGCTTCTTACTGTTGCGACGACAATGTTTTCTTCTTTGTTCCACCTTTGACTTTGTGGCTTATGGTCTTAGCTTCCCTATCTTTTTGTAGGTCACCAGTGTCCACCATTCTTCATTGTCAGTAGGTGCATTTTGGTGGCTTGCCCCCAATGATGGTTATGCAGAAGGTGCTGTATAGCTTGATCATGAACGGGAGTGGTCAGACGTTACTTGGAGAGGCACAGGATCGAAGGATCTAAACGTAGTCGTAGTAGTATGTGTTGCAACCATGTCTTCCAGGTCAAGTTTAATTCGCCCTTGTTGTGCCAGCTCCTTGAAAACGAAGCATTTGCCAACATGATGACTCACAATACGATGATATTTGCAGTACCTATGATCGTTAACGTGATTCATCTTTTCGGGGCACTTGCACTTGGGTAGCTTGATCATCTTCTTTTCCAGCAAGTCATCTAACATTGCAGTCACGTCAGAGTCAGGAAAAGGGTACGTCTTTTGCTCCAGTTCCCTCAAGGTGTTTTTGTACCTGTTTTAGGTACGAGAAGGCTCACCTCTCTTTATCTACTTCATTTTGTTCTTGGAGAAGATCTTAACGGGTGTGGAGGAGGTCCTGAAGGGGGTAGTGTTAACGGTAAAAGCTTCATTGGTAGGCTTCTTCCCCATCTTGTCCATCTTCGGAGTAAACACCTTGTCCTTCTTGAAGTCGGTGATTGGCTCATTTTCCCATAATTGGCGATATTCAGCTCTATGTTGTGGGATCGAGTTGCCAACTTCTCAAACGTTCTAGATTTTATGCCTTGATGGATGTAATGTAACCTCCAGTGCATGCTTTGAACACACATCTCAATGGTGAAGGTTTTAGAAAGCCAATCTTTGCAATCCAGACTTAATGAACGCCATATGTTAATGTAGTTGACGACAGGTTCATCCTTCCACTGCTTTATACTTGTCAGTTCCAACATGCTTATGGTGTGGTGGGCGCTACAGAAGCGGTTGAGGAATTCCCTTTCAAGTTGGTCCCAGCTGTTAATAGACTCTGGCTCGAGGTCGGTGTACCAGCCATAGGCGTTACCCTTAAGTGAGCGTACGAACTGCTGAACTAGGTAGCCTCCTTCCGTCTCAGCGTTGTTGTGGGTTTCACTGAAATGGGCAATATGTTGTTTAGGATTGCCTTTTCCATCAAATTGCATAAATTTAGGAGGCTGATAACCCCTTGGCATCTTTAAGTCATCAATCTTTTTGGAGTAGGGTTTTTGAGTATAGCGCAGAGTTGTGTGAGCTTCCTTTGTACTACGTTTTGATCGTGTTAATGATCATCTCTTGCAGCCGCTGGATAGAGAGATATCTCATGAGTACTGTTGCTTGGTCCTGCTTCTCCTCGACTTTTTCCATCGAGGCTCCTCATCCTTGTCGGTTTCCTTTTTTTGTAGATCAACCTTTGGGTTGTGGTTAACTTTTTCGTCATGCTGCACTTTTAGTCGGTTGATGAGTGTGGCAATTTGTAAGTCCTTTTCCTCTACGGTCTTTGTTAGCCTTGCAATTGCTTCATTCATTTGAGCCAGTCGCTCCTCGATAGACGTCGCACTAGTAGTCATAACTTGCATAACTATAGGATACGAGCTACTGCTTGAGTAGGCATAAGAAGTCAACGACTCAGAGTACCTCCTCAGGCTTTTTTCCTTTGGCGTTCTTAAGGTGATCACGGGTTCATGCCTCGGGTGCTTTAGCTCATTCGGCAAAGTTGATGTATGGGTAGAAGGCACGGCAAAAAGAGCTTTTGCCTTGCTTTGGGTTGTGACGCCCAAAGTGCCATCACTTGTGGCAAGGATGTTCTTGTTCTTTGCATTGGTTACTGGAACAGCTTGATCCTTTCTTGATGTTATGTGTGTTTCCTGCAAATTTGAAGACAGAGATAAGAGGCAGAGATGTCCCACCGAGCGTGCCAAATTTGTAAATACGAAAAGAACATGTGTACAAAGTAGATTTGTATTGATGAATCTGTAGGGTTACAATCTCTGTTTACAATTTTCCTCTGATTCATTCTTCAAATTTGATGTAGATGCGTAGGTTGTTGATCCAAAGGTTGCAATGACTTGATCTCGGACGAATGATTGAACGATTGCTTTAAGCTTTGGCAACGAAGGCATTTGTTCGTCACGCAAAATGTAAACAGTGACACAGGTTTCCTCGCACAAGAAAAAGTTTGTCGAGTGATAAATTAGCACCAAATCTTCATTTCACAGCATTTTCCCTAGAAATTGTGCAACGAATTACCTAGTTCGTCACCTAAGGTTTTCAAGTTTTTTTGGCCGTGACGATATTATGCGACGAAAGCCGAGCACTTGCATGGTGAAATCTGCCTCGTTGTCTAAAATTTTGTCGTGCAAATAATTTTTCTAATAATGTGATTTGATATTAATATGTATCTCCCTAATATTACTCAAAAAGAAAGACTGGTCAAACTACCCAGTCTCCTAATTAAGAAACACCAAATGGGCACATTACTCGCCAGTGATTCTTTCTGAGCAGAGTGGAGAAAATTTCCAGTAACGTTATATTAACATATATATGAGCCAAAAAAAAAACTAGATAAGTTAACGTGTACAAATATTCCTGTTTCTACAGGTGTTACTTATTTATCAAAACATTCAAAACTGTGTATGAAGCCCATGAAATTTATTTACAGACTAGACATGCATGAATATATACAAACACAGATAACCCATTACCTATATATACGTACATATACGAGACCTTTGCAAAACCACTGCCTTTTCTAACGCAAGCTACGTGATCTTCTCAAGGGGCTTAGGCTTACCCAAGTCAACCATCGATCCTACTAAGCATATAAACCCCAATAACCTACATGTATACGTCCAACATCATGAATTTTCAATACAACCCAAAACAAACGCGCACGCGTGCGCACACACACACGATATAATTAAGGGAGGTTTAACAAAACACTCCCAGTACTGTTCACTTTTAACGAAAAACCACATTTATACTTTTCCCTGGCACTGTTTATTATACCATTAAAAAGAGCTTTTCATTAAAAAAAAGTTTTTTTGGACTTTTCGTTAGTTTTTCTTATAATTAACCCCATCCTCATGAGTACGAAGGCTCATGATTCATGAACATACGTAGTTTTCTTAATTTTCTTTCAACATTTTTACCCTTCACCGACTGAAGTAAGTACGGGGAGAGAAGAGGCGACGGGGTGAGAACATCCCCATATACCTCGGAGAAGCAAGGCCGTCAATTGAGCGGTACTCGGGCATGATGAACCCTCCTCTCTCCTCTCGAGGTCCGCTTCGGTTGGCCCCATTGAACGTGCCATACTTCACCAACTTGCCCATCCAAGACTTCTTCTTTGGCGGAGTCTTGTGGCCACCATTCATTTTCTCACTAAGATACTCCTTCACTGAATGCAACCCTTGCTCAAACACCTCAGGAGGAGGAGAAACCATAGGGTTTCCTTCCACAATAAGCTTCTGAAGCTTCTTGAGGCATCCAATGGAGTCTGGTAGGGCTGTGATCTTGTTGTAGCTGACGTCCAATTCTACTAGAGACAAAAGGAGGCCAATGGAGTATGGTAGGGTTTCGAGGTACTGGAAGTTTTGGCTTACATTGAGAACTTCAAGGTTGATAAGGTTCTCAAGATCTTCAGGAAGGGACCTGAGGCAGTTGAGACGAGCATCGAGTACGCGCAGAGACGTAAGATGGGTGAGGGAGCGTGGTAGAAAGACAAGCTTGTTGGAGTTCACTGATAGCTTCTTGAGGTTATTGAGTTCAAAACCGATGGTGTCTGGGAGGTGGCTCAGCTTGTTGAAGTTGGCATTCAGCTCTTCCATTGACCTGAGTCATTGTAAAATCACAATTCAGTCCAATTGGCTTTAACAATAATCTAGTCTGATGCACAATTATACATATATATATATATATATGTATGTATGTATGTATTATGAAATTAGAGATTAAAAATATATAATCAAATTTACTGATAATATTTAGAGACTAAAACTATTCATCTCAATTGAGTATGTGTTGTATTATCTCTTATATGTAATCAATTAAGCAAGTGTTTTAGTTTTATTTTTCACTAATTTCTTTCCTTCCCTCTTGGTGCCCTCGCTAATATAAGTGCCTTGTTAACTTGTGAGACCGCTAGTGGTGAACTATTTTGTATTGGGTTTGACCTCGTTAAAGTGCCTTAACCATTTTGTATTGTTCAGCTTACGGTTGTACGGCCTCGGGTTACACCATGTCTTTGCGTGCGCGATACGGGCAAACTGTTACTAGAATTTTCAGTTTGACATTAATTTCACTTTTGACTTTTTTGTTGTAAGTTCACCCACACCATTCATTTGGCTCCCACAAGTCAAAAAAAGCAATCACCGCATCAAGACGCACTTCCAAAAATATTTATAGTTTTATTTGGAAGTGATCAAATTGTTGACTGCTAAGTTAATTAGGCAATATACAAATAAGACTCACTCAAGTACTAGAGCATTCTGTGTGCCTTTGGGACAAGAAAAGATACACCAACCAGAAAACAACGTCTTGTACTGTAAGGAAAAGCAAATCACAAAATTAACGATCTTCCTTGAATAAATTAACTAATCACAAAATTTACGATCTTCCTTGAATAAAGTTAACTACATATTTTATGCAATATCAAATTAATCTGGTCATGATAAGGATTAGATGTTTAATTTCTGGTTTACTTAGTTGTCAATAAATTTCATGTGACGCAATGGCGGCCAATATATATATATAAGAAAGGATGACATCAGAACACTTTGTGTTGATAAATATTACCATGATGCTGTCATATGTATAAATAAAAAAAATGCATGTACAAACAAACCACGAGGTTTGCAGATTTGTTAGCTAAAGATTCACCTTAATAAGATCGCTTGCTTTGAAATAAAAATGCATGTAAAAATTAATGTACAGCACGGACAAATTTTCTTTTTTTCCCTCTCCTTGAAAGAGAAAGGTTGTATTGGATTGGCTAAGACCTCCATATTTAGTTTAATTACTAACTAGTATATTCATCCAGAATGTGACAATAAATTAAGGGAATTCTTTCAGGTACATTCCAAATTTATTGTTTTTCATGATCCTAATTTTCAGAAAATCAATAATAAATATATAGAGATAACGCTTGTGTTAACCAAAAAAAAGGCATGACGCTTGCGTATACATTTATATCAAACATTAATCAATGAAATTGTTCTTAACTTAATTGGAAAGAGGAAGAGGAAGAGATGACAACGAACCTGCAATTTTCAATAGTTTTTGGGAGATATGAAAGAAGGTTTCCTGCAACATTGAGAACCTTAAGCTTGGACAAACAACCAATTGAGTTTGGAAGAGATTTCAGCTGATTTGAGTGCACGTCCAGCACTACCACGTTTAGTAATCTTGCTGTTAAGGATTCTGGTATGTTCTGTAAAATTTAGACTAAGAAACAATATTAAAAGAAATATTTATATGAATATAATTTTTACATAAAAATTCATTTAAAACCTAAATAGAACAGCGCTCTCTGAATACCTAAAAGGCTAAAAGGCAGTAATATAAAAAATTAAAAAATTAAAAAAAAATAAAAATTATGCCCCTTTATTCACCAAAAGATAACCGGAACCAATTCTTTCTAATGAACATTATATCCTTGTAGATGTGACGTGATAATACAAATTATGAGATAGATGATGGAGAGAATTGGACGAATAACACAAGATTTTCCCTCTAATGAAAATGGAAGCATATACAATTCAGTGATTCACCTAATTACGTACCTGAAGATTGTTATTGGAAAGGTCAAGCTTGCAAATAGTCCCCAGATTAAGGGAAGGATTGGGAAGGGCATCAAGAGACATCCCGCTCAAATCCACAATTTCAAGCCTCTCTTCTTCTATCGATCTCTTCCTCTCATGAGCAGCTTTTTTATTCGTGTCCATTCTAATTTGCTGCTGCTGCTGCTCGTACATCATTTCGCCAACCCGAGAAAGATTCTTCAATTCCTTCCCGAGAGAAAACTGAAAATCAAAGAGAGAAATTTACTAGAAGAGGCGTTTGTGTTTGTGTGCTGTGTTTAGTTACGTGCTTGTTTGGAAAGAAAGAAAATTAGGTATGGATATATTTCTAGAGAAAGGAGAGAGCGTACAGAACGTACGGAAAGAAAGGGAGACAGAGGGAGGAGGTGAAAGTA